TGACTCACGGAAGCGACACAACTGCCTCCGGGTGACTCACGGAAGCGACTCCCACAGGAAACAGTCATCACTCCTGGAGGCATCAGAGAGGCTCTCCTTACACCGCTACCTCCAACATTCCTCTACTCTCGGGCGCCATCAAGGGACCTGGTAATGAGGATTCTTTCCGTCTGTCCCGAACCTCTACAGGAAAACACAGGCCAAGGGGTGAGAGGGCCGGTGGGGTGTAGGGTACTACCGCGTCCCACACAGCCAGTCAGGGCCACCACTCTCACAGTCCACACAGCCAGTCAGGACCACCACTCTCACAGTCCACACAGCCAGTCAGGACCACCACTCTCACAGTCCACACAGCCAGTCAGGACCACCACTCTCACAGTCCACACAGCCAGTCAGGACCACCACTCTCACAGTCCACACAGCCAGTCAGGACCACCACTCTCACAGTCCACACAGCCAGTCAGGACCACTGCCCCTGAAGGTCTACAAACAAACCCACAACTACACTATCATCGTTTAAAGGACTGCACTTCGAGGGAACTTTGAGGGGAACGTCATAAATAGATACCCCTCGATTAGTGACTCCAAGCTCCTCCTTGACCTTGACGCCCTCTGTACGGGACAAGTCTTCATTGCACATTACCCATCACTTGTGTCTGTCTCCTCAGGAGGATGGCAAACATGACATAATAACGTAAATAACATTAAATGGAAACTCAGCCTGTACTCACCGCCCACACAGAGGCAACTGAAGGTCTTGAGCCTCAACACATCTGTCTTATACCCAGATTGCCTCTCCTGGGGCTACTCTGGAAGTCTTTGACGTGTGATTTATAACTATCAAGGCTGTTGCTGTGTGAGTCATTATTTTGCAAGAGACAAGAAGTGAGACAAATATATCAATTTACTATGAATAATCTCTAAAATCTTCTCTCAGTTTATGGATTTTCTGAACTTAACTGAAGCAACTAGAGATAATGTCTTCAATATATTATAGACGAGAGAATTAAATTCACATTAGCCTTTGAATCAAGTTCGGGCGATATAACATAACAGTGAGTGAGGAAGACGCGGAGACAACATTAGTTTTCATCTTGGCGACGTGTCACTTTAATATTCTGATTTATTTACCGCCTTGTAAACGGTACTTAATAACCCTGGCAGTTGGTATTTTTTTCTAACCGAGCATCGCTCGCCGCTAAACTGATCGATACAGCTGGACCCTCGATCGATTTGAATTATACACCAGGAATAAAAATTATATTAATCTATAATGGAAGAGTAATTAAGATTTAAGTTGATTTCTAAGGATTTATTTTTAGGCAGAACACAGAGTCGGAGTTACATATCGTGTTTGTTTTTGTGATGTAAGTAACGGCCTCCTGGATCCCCTTCGTCACCAGATCATCTTTTGTCTTTTAACATAAACATTAGGAGTTTAGAATCTTCCGTTGTGGGATCCTAAGCCTTTAATCTTCTGTATCATAAAATATCGATGAAACAACAAAAACCTCTCCACCAACACATTATACCTCGCCTCGACACATCAAGTAAACAGAGCTTTTGGCGGGCTTTTATGCCTTGTTTATCGCGTCATTGAAATCTTATAGCCAATATCAGAGGCACATAATGACCAATTGGCTCTTCGCTTTTTGATCAGGGAAACGATTTACATAGAACGTGTGTTGTGCATTTGTTTTTGTTTTTGTTTTGTGTAAGAGGACGAGTGCTGAGCCTGTGTTTGTTATTCTGGTGTGTGGAAGAGGCGGAAAAGAAGGGACAGGAGAAAGGGGAAATCTGTCCTCCAGAGTATTTCGTCTGGCTGGGAAGGAGAGAGGAGATAGGAAGGAGGGGTGGGGTAGAGGAGGGGAGGGGGGGGGGATCAAGGCTAGTCTCTGGGCTGTAACAGAAGAAACTTTTCCTAAAGTCTCCTTAATAAGCAGCTGAGATTTGGTTAATGTCGCCTCTTAGCCAACAGCCTGGAGGGAGCAGCGACCCTTCAGCACACTGTAGCTTTTAAATGCAACCAGGGAGCCTCTCGTACACACCCAACACAACTTAATTATTGCCAACATCAACAACCAATCCAAATGTTACCTCGGCTGTCGTCTTGTTGATGTTATTATCGTTACAGAACACTGCTAAGGGTCATAGGAAGGTCATTTGAGGTCATATGGGGTCATGTGAGGTTGTGTAAGGGTAATGTGAGGTTATGTAAGGTCATACTGAGTCAAGTAAGGGTCATGTGAAGGTCATTTGAGGTCATATGTGGTCATGTGAGGTTGTGTAAGGGTAATGTGAGGTTATGTAAGGTCATACTGAGTCAAGTAAGGGTCATGTGAAGGTCATTTGAGGTCATATGGGGTCATGTGAGGTTGTGTAAGGGTAATGTGAGGTTATGTAAGGTCATACTGAGTCAAGTAAGGGTCATGTGAAGGTCATTTGAGGTCATATGGGGTCATGTGAGGTTGTGTAAGGGTTATGTGAGGTTATGTAAGGTCATACTGAGTCAAGTAAGGGTCACGTGAAGGTCATTTGAGGTCATATGTGGTCATGTGAGGTTGTGTAAGGGTAATGTGAGGTTATGTAAGGTCATACTGAGTCAAGTAAGGGTCATGTGAAGGTCATTTGAGGTCATATGGGGTCATGTGAGGTTGTGTAAGGGTAATGTGAGGTTATGTAAGGTCATACTGAGTCAAGTAAGGGTCATGTGAAGGTCATTTGAGGTCATATGGGGTCATGTGAGGTTGTGTAAGGGTTATGTGAGGTTATGTAAGGTCATACTGAGTCAAGTAAGGGTCACGTGAAGGTCATTTGAGGTCATATGTGGTCATGTGAAGCTTTCCTTAGTCACTACCCTCCTCTGGTCAATGATTCCGGGACATCAACTGAGACGACTCGTCCTAGGGACAGACAGACAGACAGACAGAAACAAACCAGAACAGTGATGAGAATTTGTTTTTTGTTTTTTCCTGGTAAATTGTGGCCCACTAGACAAGACTCTTAAGCCTTCCTCCTCCTCCTCCTGTTCTTCCTCATCCTTCTTCTCTTTGTCCTCCTTTTTCTTCTTCCTTTCCTCCCTCCGTCATCCTTTTCTTCCATCTTACTTCTCTTTCTTCTCCTCCTCCTTACGCTCCATCTCCTCCTCCTCCTCCAACCTCCTCTCCCTACCATCTCCCCCCTCTCCATCCCCCCACACTTCACATACGGAGAGAGATTAAGGCTAAGTTAAGCTCCCAACTCCGAGATCTAGTACCGCAATATAATGTTTTTTTCATGTGAGGGAAGCAGAGTGGCAAGAGGCCATTATCCACAGCTGCCGCGGACATTACACTCGAGTACACTTCATCACACTCCTCCAGTTGCTAATCTATAAACGCTGCCCAGTACCTTCTAACACTGTCTCTTTGATGTGGTGGAGTGGTAGATGGATAGATGGATAGATAGAAAGGTAGATAGATTGGATAGAGGTTGATACATACATACATGCACTCATACACACACACACACACACACACACACACACACACACACACACACACACACACCTTCAGTAAGTATATCAACTGGAGGATTTTTGAAGAAGTCTTAAATCACACTTAAAGTTTCTTCACTCTTAAGTCAGTCGTTTCCCTCAGTCTCACGTGGCTGTACGACCCTGCACGATGCTGTATGACCCTGCACGATGCTGTACGACCCTGCACGATGCTGTACGACCCTGCACGATGCTGTACGACCCTGCACGATGCTGTACGACCCTGCAATGATGCCACGACCCTGAACGATGCTGTAATGACCTCTTCGAACGATGCCAGATGACCCTGCACGATGCTGTACGACCCTGCACGATGCTGTACGACCCTGCACGATGCTGTACGACGCTCATGACCACAGCTTTTGGATAACATTTAAAGGGAATGATGGAGAAATATTGAGGATGTGATCATTAGTCTTGATTTTGCTGTACAGAATTAAGATAAAAGTCCCTCGACCACCAGACCGAGCTGTTGATAAAGCACCCCACCACCCCACCACCCCTGCACCCCAGCTCCTAGCACCCCAGCACCCAGCACCCCAGCACCCCAGAACCTCAGCACCACAGAACCTCAGCACTCCACCACCCCAGCACTCCAGCAACCCAACACCCCAGCCCATAGAACCCCCCAGAACCCCCCAGCACTCCAGCACCCCATCCTGAGAGTCACCCCTGTATGGTGGGTAGAAGTGGAGAAGATGGAGGAGGAGAAAGACAGCAGGGAGAGGAGGAAGAGGAGGAATAAGAAGAGAAATAGAATATGGGATAGGAGGAAGAGGAAGAAGAAAAGAGATATGACAGACAGAGAGAGAGACAGAAGGAGACAGCGAGAGAGACAGACAGAGATAGAGAGAGAATCCAAATCAGACTTTGCGACTGCGCCACTGAGAGGAAGAAGAGGGAGGAGTGGTGTGGGTTGAGGAGAGTTTGGTGGTGGTGGCAGTGACGGTGTGGCGCTGGTGAGGGAGAGTGTGTGAGAGTGCGGGAGAGAGTGTGGGAGAGAGTGTGATAGGGTCACCGGGCCTCCCTCTCTCTCTCTCTCTCTCTACGAAAATCTGCGAGATTCGTTTTTTAAGGGGGGAAGAATCCACCAAGGCTTCTTAAATCCTGCTTACGGGATAAACAGGATTTCTTAATGCCGTGACGCTCTAATGCTGTGATTCCGTGTAATGCTGCGGCTGTAACGCTGTGATACAATAATGCTGTATTAATGACTGTAACGCCGTGATACAGTCAATCAAAGATCTTGTAGTGACCGTGACGATATACATTACTGTCAGTGACTGTATCCCTCTGAAACATCGTGAACTGTTAGTGACTGTATTCCTTTAACACTGTGAACTGTTACTGTCTGTACCCCTGTAACGCCTGTAATACACTCAGTAACATAACATTTATATAAACAAATGAATTTATAGTACTACTGTAATCAAGCGAGTGACAGTTACTAATTACCGAAAACAACATAAACGAACAAGTAAACAAAAGCAAGTGTTGTTTACAGGGGTGATAAACAACAACTGTAAGAGATAAACAGACATACGGACAGTAAACTCTATTATAGTGATTAATTAACCTCGATATAGAAGTTGTTATAGATGTGTTGACATAGTTACAGTGATTTATATGTGTATTAGGGTATAATGTTTTCGGTGTTCAAAATTGGCAAGATTTTTGTTGTCTTTAGGGACTGTCTGTGTATGCCTGGGGGATGATTATGTATGTGTCTAAGATATTAATACCGTGTCAATATGTGTAACTTAAACAAATACAAAAAAGCAGGTGTTTTAAAGGGACGCATTTATGTATCCTGAGCAGTAGTCCTGAGCAGTAGTCCTGAGCAGTAGTCCTGAGCAGTAGTCCTGACCACGAACTCTTATACAGGGATATTCAACGCTATTCTTGGGCAGTTTTCATGAGCACTTCAAGTGAAGAGTAGTCCTGAGCACTATTTCTGAGCAGAAGTGTTTAGACAGTGGATTTGAGTATCAGACCTCAGCAGTAGCCCTGAACATTGGACATGAGCATTGGGACTGAGCAGTAGCCCTGAGCGCAGAGTCTGAGCAGTAACCCTGAGAAGTAGTCCTGAGCACTGGGCATGACCAATAGCCCTGATCACTGGGCCTGAGAAGTAGCCCTGAGCAGTAGCCCTGAGCAGTAGCCCTGAGCAGTAGCCCTGAGCATTGGCCTTGAACAATAGCCCTGAACAGCTGTGGTTCCCAAGGCGCCTGTAGCCCAGCACTGAGCACCATAACAGTAAGTAGTCCCAGGCTATCGGCATGGTCCTCTCTCTCTCTCTCTCTCTCTCTCTCTCTCTCATAATATTCCGAAATATACTTCGAATCCGAATCCGGTATCGTAGAGAGTGTTGTAGCTTGCATTCAACACCCCCCCCCATCAGACATATCCTTTTTACGCATATATTCTATCTTTGCGAGCTTCTAGTCACACACACACACACACACACAATACTTCATTATATCTCACCGACTCTATCTCATTCTCCACCTTCCTCTATTCTCAACGAAGAGAACCACACAGAGACAATATAACTTCCCCTCATCTACACTCATCTCTTATGTCTATACCATTACATTATACTCTCAAGGTTCCAACATTTTCCCACCCCTCTGTACCATAATTCTTTCACGTATATCTACATTGGCTTAAATACGGTTGATCCCAGATACACAAATACAGGAATTATATCACAAATTCTCAACTTAACTCCATTTTAAGTGAGATTATTACTACCACTTCTTCCCTCATCAGGATATTGTAAAAAAAAGTATTTATTATCGTGTGTACATTTAGCCTTAGTGATGTTTACTGACTCACTTTATTTATTATTATACACACGAGTTTTTTCTTTATTTACGTTTTTGTTAATTTGTTATACATTGTAATTATTCCCAGGTTGTGTTTGTTATTTATTCTTTATTCTGATGTTTTTACTCCATCGTTATTCATTCTTCATGGTTAATTATTCTCACTCACTCATATTATAAAATTTATTAATCCTTTAAATATTAGTAATAAATCCAGGAACAAACTGTGATAATGAAAGAGTTGTAAATCGTACATCTGGCAGCTAACATCACTGAGGAGAGAGAGAGAGAGAGAGAGAGAGAGAGAGAGAGAGAGTAGTAGACCCCAGTTCTAATCTAATAGGCCCCGGTCCAAGTAGACCCCGGTTCAAGTAGGCCCCAGTTCAAGTAGGCCCCAGTCCAAGTAGGCCCCAGTCCTAAAAGAACCCAGTATTAACACACACATACACACACACATTTAACAGCACCCAGAGATACCATCTGGGTGCAAATAGCGAGAAAGATTTAATATGTTCAAAACTTTTCGAAGTTGTTCACCAGTAATGACAACAATCTTACTTTACTGTTCCAGGATATAAAACCCACTTCATAACCCGTATCTTAATGACCATCTACTTATAAAAGGGTCACATAGTAGGGTTATTAACAGCATGAATCAACCCAAAAAAAAAATCACAAAAAACATTAATTGTCAGTATGGTCGTTGAGGAGGTAATGAAGGTGTTTTTATTTGTTTTTATTTGTTTTTATTCTTCTAAGATTCAATTGTGTTTATGTTTTATCTTTGGTCTTTGATGACGTTACAGAAAATAGGGTTTTGTTTCAGCTCAGTGTGTGTGTGTGTGTGTGTGTGTGTATGTGTGTGTGTGTGTGTGTGTGTGTGTGTGTGTGTGTGTGTTTTGTTCCTCCCTCGTGCCCTCACACTCCTCTGAACATAATCAAGGTAGAACGTCATGGTGAGAGGGAACGTGGAGGAGGAGCGACACGTTCTGCTCACGGGGAAATCAGAACACTGGGCCGAGGCGTCATATAAACCCGGGGTTAATGCCAGGCCGCACAGTATCATGGCACCATCACCACCCCTGTGTGTACACTGGCGGACTCCCTCTAGCTCTCCGTCCTAGCCCCTTCCTAGCCCTCTCTCAAACCCCTCCTAGCCCCCTCCCACCCCACTCTTAACCCCCTCCTAGCCCCCTCCCATCCATCTCTTAACGCCCGCCTACCACCCTCCCAGCATTTCTCTTCTAAACCTCTCCTAGCTCCCTCCCATCCCTCCCTCCTAGCTCCCTCCCATCCCTCTCTCCTAGCCCTCTTCTAGCCCTCTCCTAGCCCCCCTTCCAGCCCTCCCAGCATTACCCCAGCCACCAGTACTTGCTTCCACCGCCCCGTAATCAAATCCACTCTGAGTGAAGCAGGATTCAGTTCAAATGGGTGGCTGCTAGTTTTAATAGGCCCCCGGTCCTAATGGGGCCCAATTTACCGGCGGAAGATACGTTAATGGCGAACTGATTAACCAGGAGTTACTTCCATCGTCCCGGAGTCAGGCCTGAGGAGGAAGCAGTTTGCCGGTTAAATAGCCACCACAATCTTTAATAGCCCCCCCCCACCCCCAACCAGTCCTAATGTAAACCTAACCTACCCATTAGGGACTTGGCAAGGTCCATTAAGATTGGTTCCAGAGTGATCAGTCAGCGAGGAAGATGCATCACTGGCTGGATAATTGGTGTGACCCGGAGCAGAGGAATGAGGAGAGCACTCGACTCTCTCAGTGAGCAGATGTTTGGAGCCTCAGTTAGGTTAGGTTAGGTTAGGTCAGGTCAGGTCAGGTCAGGTCAGGTCATAAACACCCTGACCAAAACGTCCTATATTCGACGACCACCCACCCGGCCTCTCGTGTACAGTACAGTACATCGTAAGGCAGAGCCACGCGACTACCTCATAAACAAACAACTTTTAGAGAGGTTCAAGACGAGACTCGGCTGTAGGTCGAGGTACTTAGAGTAAACTGATGGCCACAAAAGGTTAAAACAAGAGAGATGTTATCGCTGGGCCGCCGCGGGAGGTCTGGGCCCAGGGCGGCTGGTCCAAGGGCGAGTAATGTAAACATTGGCTGCAGGATGCGGGGCCTCGCTTGGGTTGCCAGTTCGCTCCATAGGTGGTGCCTGGGGGGAAATGTAGTGAACGTTAGTAATTTACTATCAAGAACCATACGAATTTACTTGCATTTTTTTTTACAGGCTACAAGAACCAACCAAACACTTTCTAACCTAATCAAAACTACTTTGGGATTTTTAAGTTTAAATTTTGATTACATTCAGATCGTCTAGTTCCATAAAAAATTTAAATAATGACAAAAATATAAGAGCCTTGTGTTGGTGGTATTTCCGTAACATTGACCATCTTCCCGGGACCAACATCCTCCCCGGGTCCTCAGCAGCTGTAGGTAGAGGCAACTTTGGTGACTAGACGCCATTAAGAGGACAGTATTGCCGGAGAAATGCATCATAATATTTCCAGAACGTAATTTACTCGGCGTTCATTTATGTTTTATATTTACGGCAACACTAAAGGAACGGCTGAACGTGAGAGAGAGACCATAAAGGCGCAGTTAAAATTATTTAATCTCGAACTGATATATACAAAACAATAATCTCTTCTTCTCCCGTATAGAACAAAGTGATTTTTATATCATCTCATACACATTATTGGATTTAAGGAACTCCATAATGTTTTCTAAGTTAACGAGGTCAAGCTGCCTTCCCCCTCCCTCCAAGGTCACACTGAGGCGGCAACACAGCTTGACCAACACACTGCTTCACTACAACACTACTATCACCACTATAACACCAACTCCACAACCGTGCTACCATTTTTATAACACTACACCACCACAACACACCACCACCATACCACACATCACACCACCACCATACCACACACACACACACACACACACACACACATTATACTGCTGACCCAATGTCCTTAACCTTTGACCTTCATACCTGACGATGTTTTAATAACCAGTTGTTGTGGACGTGGACAGGTTAAGTACACAGTTACTCACTAATTACTCATGTCAAGGTCAACACAGGTGAGAGTTACAGGTGTAATTACTATGACTTTTTACCTTATCGTTGTTGGCACTAATGATGGCACTAACTTCTGGTCGATTCAGGGGGTTATTATGGTACTGGTGGCACTCTTAACTACCAAGATCCCTAATTTAATTTAATCAAACCTAACCTAACCAAACCTAACCAAACCTAACCTAACCAAACCTAACCAAACCTAACCTAACCCAAACCAACCCTAACCTATCAACTCGACCCAGCAGGGAATAATGTGAGGTGTGTGGGGGAGACCTCATCGGCGTCCAGGTTTCCACAGCAGGTTGGCTTTGTGTTGGTGGGTGTTGATTCATTGCAACACTCAAGGTACCAATACACTATCAAATGGACTACAGCCGCTACTACAGTCATTCATTTATCATTCTAACATTTGGAGGAAGGTATTAATATAATGGTGGGGGTAGAGGGGTGTTTGGGGGGAGTGGGGAGTGGGGAGGGTGTTTGGGGTGTGGGGAGGGGTAGAGGGGTGTTTGGGGGGAGTGGGGAGAGGTGAAGGTGGAGGGAGACAAGAAGGTCTTTTAATCACTCTCACAAAACAAAAACATTAATAAACTCTTTGAAAAAAATTGCATCGTCTATAGGAATAAATTTACCAACAATCACAAAATAAAATCATTAATAAACTCCAGGAAAAAGAGTTCGATACGCTATAAACATGAACTCTACCCATAACAAAACAGAATCGGCAATAAACTCCGGGAAAAGAATTTGGTCATCTATAGGAATAACTCTAAGCATAAAAAATACACATCGAGACCAAACCAATGTGTAGTCTATAAGTCACAGAGGATCCCAGAGGCCACACATGTCTATACACACTCCCTGGGGCGTCTATACACACACACACACACACACTCCCCTGTGGCATCTATACACTCTCTGGGGCGTCTATACACACACACACACACACACCTCCTGGGGCATCTATACACACTCTGGGGCGTCTATACACACACACACACACACACACACTCCCTGGGGCATCTATACACACTCTGGGGCGTCTTACACACACACACACACACACCCCTGGGGCATCTATACACACTCTGGGGCGTCTATACACACACACACACACTCCTGGGCATCTAAACACACACTCTATACACACACACACACACATCCACACACACTGGGCGTCTAAACACACACACATACACACACCCCCTCCTCCCCTGGGGCGTCTACACACACACACACACACACCTCCCTGGGCGTCTTTAACACACACACACACACACACACACACACACACCCCCTGGGGCATCACACACACACACACACACACTCCTGGGGG